AAATGCAGTTGAAGTACTCTCTAAGAATGGCGAAATATTCTCCAAAATATATGCTATTTATTTAGCACATCATTTTTTTTGCTAAAATTAGGGCAAAGGAAAATTAGACTCCATCTGTGTTTGATTCACTTTGAATCTCAAACTGATGAATTTCAAGTGACACTTTATTACTTCTTGGTTTTATATACAAAATGGCTTCTCTAACAGTTGATTTTTCTGAGAAAATGGGGAATAAACTTCTCCACCTCTGATGAAATGAAATACACCTTTTTAGTGACCAAACACAAGGAGGTTGATGACCGTATTGTCATTTTTCATTCTTCATATCTCTCCTGTCAACATCGTTTCCATTTCCAGTTGTATTCAAATTGTGTGTGTGTGTGTGTGTGTGTGTGTGTTTTAATAAGATTACTTTTGGGTTTTTTTGCTTTTTGTTTTTCCTCAGAAGAACAAACTGCTGGAGCAGAGAGCGTGGAGCCTCAGCCAGCTCCTTGGCACGCCTCTTCAGGAAAAGATGCACCCGAGTGCAGGACACAGTAGACTCCTCTCCTGTCACTTTTCCGGGGGCCCAGCATTCCCTGTTTGGAAATGACTGTTTATTACTTCATGTGCCTATCCCTGGCGATGTTGTCACAGTCCAACTTAATTTCAGTTCAGTTTTCATTTTGCCACTAGAATTGGAAGACGAAGGAATAGGAGATGAATGCGTTCCAGTAATTTAGAATGGTGATAGCAATGTCTTCTTTGAATGTGGTAATACTTTACAAGTTGAATTGTTTTATTTATTTATATATTTTGTAAAGAATAAAATTATTGAAGGAATTTTCCAGTCTTTCCATGTATACATAAAATGTACTCATTTTTATTAATGTAATGTTATCCACATATGACTTAGATATTCCCAAGGCATTATGCATACATTAAAGCATCATTTAATTAACAAAACTATAAACTCCTCTTTAAGTACCTTGAACATTCAATAAATGTTTAATTAATGGTTCTGAATCACAAGTCTATGTAACAGTAATTAATAGCTTCTTGGTGGGGTACTCAGCGTATATTTGGCTCTACTTGTTTGTTTGACTTATAGAATTTTGCTATGAGAATATATACATGCTTTCTGGATTTAAGTTGCTAAGTTTAGCAAAGTGCTCTGACCTCTTCATTTTCTAGGCTAATCTTTCTATTGCTATAATAAATAAAAAAGTTCTCTCTCGCTTTTCTGTTACCCACCAGCCCCCGTACAAGCACTCTAAATTGGTTGGTTTGTTACCAGACTTTGTACTCTACTACATTTTACTCCCAGCTGGAAGAACTTCATGGACCATTTATTCTATCCTTTTCTTTCAGACATGAGGAAACAGCACCAGAATTTCTATCAAAGTAGAAAAATTCTTCTAAACCCAGAGTCCCCACAGATACATAAGACCTCTATGGATGGGCTTCATGCAGTCTGTAAAACCTCTGAAATTTTATGTTAATTTGTTAATTTTGTCATTTTTCTAGGATACTTGGGTCCATACTTTTATCATATTCTTAAGGGGATCTTTGGGTGATGTTTCTTTTCTTTTTAAGATTTTATTTATTTATTAGAGAGAGCACAAGCAGGGGCGGGGGGAAGCAGGCATAGGGAGAAGCAGGCTCCCCACTAAAAAAGGAGCCCGATGTGGGGCTCGATCCCAGGAACCTGGGATCATGACCTGAGCCGAAGGCAGACGCTTAACAGACTGAGCCACCCCGGCATCCCTGGGGGATGTTTCTTTTGTGTGTGTGTGCACCTTCTGATTTTTTGCTGAGTTTTATCCATTTGAAAAAGGAGCCACCTCTTCTGGTCTACAGACTGCTTCATACAAGGAAAGATTTCACCTGTCAGCCTGGTTAGAGATCCTGGGGATCTCTGAAACCTTTTTAGGGGGATGTGACCTCTGGGCTGTGGGTATAATTTGCCAATTAGAGAAGTTTACCAATTTCTTTTCTAGGAGCTGGATCTCTTGCTCCCTCTGGTGTCTGTCTTCAGTACAGCATGTTCTTGCGGTAAGACGCACCCCCGCCCCCTTTGTTCTCATTGGCCCTCAGGCATCCAAAGTATATCAGCTCCCCATTAGCACCCCAGGTAGGCAAGACAAGTACCAATCTTGGACAGCCCTCCAAAAAGTTGGAATACCAAGAACATGCTCCACTCTTCTCCCTCTCTCCCAACTATGCTGAACCACTCCGGCCTCCATCTGGGGCACTGCAGGCCCTCCAGTGTCAATTAATGCCGGTTCCATCAGCACTCCAAGTCAGGCAAGACAGAAACCAGTTCTTTGGGCTTCCGTTGAAAAAGTCAGAACTTTGGGTTAGTTTTCCACTCCTCTCTTTCCCCCTACTCCCCTGGGGAAACCGAGAGCCAGAGGCTGAGCTGTGCTGACTTGGGTAAGGGGTGCGGTGGGTGGAGCCACGGGTAAAGGGAAATGACTCTTCTTGCCCATTTCAATGCAGCTGTTCTCAGCTCTCCCCATACCGAGGGTCCTGTGACTTCCTAACTGACTTAAGTTCTCATAAAGGTATTTTGGTCTGTATATTGTTTTAAATCGGTGTCTCTGTGGGAGGAAAAGAGGTGGGACTTTCTACTCCCCCATGTTGTTGACATCTCCCTCAGAAATGTTGCTTCACTCTCATGATCTGGGGTTTCAATATCATGATAAATGGCTGTGAAGAGACAATGATGAAAGTCAACAATGAAACATGCAAAAATGATAAAAAGCAATAATATGGTCAGACAACACTAAAATGGTCTGAAAAGTCAAAGAAGACAAATAGATTATTGTTCATAGGAAACATTTTCTGGAGAGCCTGGCAAAATTATATCCAGGAAACCTATTGAGAGCCTACCATTCATACTCAGCAAATATTTAATGGCTGTTTACTGTGTGCCAATCACTGATCTAGGCACCAAAAGTTACTGCCTTTGTGAAATTCATGTTTGGTTGAAAAATATAGTATGTGCTGACTGCAGTATAAGGGTGAAAAAGATATAGTCCCTAGCCTTGAAGAAATTTACTCCATGGAAAATATAGATGGGTAAGCAAATTTTTGCAACACCATGTTACTTAGGCTGTCACAGAGTCGGCATTATTGTTGGAAATCGGGACAAAGGGAGGCTGAAGAAAGCGGCACCAAGAAAGTAGTGTTAGACTTGACCTTGATTAGAGAATCCTCATATACATAAAAATTGTATTCTAAAATACTCAAAAGTTAAAGACATTGTTACTAAAGCAAGGAGCACAGCTGGGTGTCATTAGAAATCATTAGACTCCGTTAGAAGCTACCCCGGGCAATGAGGGACAGTCTTATCAAAGACTCTGTGTGTTTATATATGCAGAAATTAGATCAGAGATATTTTTCATCTACTGTAATTCATCTACTGTAATTGAATTTTAATAATCATTCACATTTACTAAGTACAAATGTAATCAATGTGCTGGTAGTTGTGAATGCCTAGTCCTTTCTCCTCACATGCCTGAGGCAGGTGCTACGGTTACCTTCTTTTACAGATAAGAAAGCTGGGGCTTGGAGAGTTAAATGATTTACTCAGCTAGCAAAGGACATGGGACTTATCTTCATCTTTCTGACTGCACAGTCTTTGTTCTGAACCACCGTGACCATTGTGAATATACTTCGCTCCAAAGAGAAAAAACCTGGGAGAAAATGTGATCCAAAGAAGTTCCTTTTTCTCGCCTAAGAATCTCAGGGCAGGGGTCGGGGTGGGGGGTGCCTGGGTGGCTCAGTGGATTACCCATCTGCCTTCAGCTCAGGTCATGATCCAGGAGTTCTGGGATCAAGCCCCATGTCACCTCCCTGCTCAGTGGGGAGTCTGCTTCTCCCTCTCCCTCTGCCCCTTTGCACCCCCTCCCGCTGTTCGTGCTCTCTCAATCTCTCTCAAATAAATAAATAAAATCTTAAAAAAAAAAAAAAAAAAAACCCCAGAGGAGTTAGTTTAGTGCTGTGGCATAAAGGCTGTCTTCAGGGAATCAGGTTCCTTCCCTTACCTGCTCTGTCCTTGACGGGTGCCTCTGACCTCAAGCAAAGTCACACAATGACTGCCATGTCCCAAGGCAGATCCACATTCCAGGCAAAAAGAAGGAAAAGCCTTTCAGAGTGGCCTTGCCTTTCTATCCAAAAGGAAATCCTCAACTTGCATTTCATTGGCCAGCTCTAGCAGCAAAGGAGGCTAGGAATATGAGAGTTTTGTTTTCTGACCTTTATAAAATAAAAGGCAGGGGAAAGTGAGGTAGGTGGATGTTGAATGAACCAACGTAGATAGTACATGCACAAAATAACCTACACAATCACTCTGTTCAATTATACACCTGCTACAGTATGACTTACTAAGCCCGGCACACATGACCTAGTCCTAGACGTAGTCTATTATCTCTGTTCTCTTCGACCAGACTTTATCTGTTGCTCTTACCCAACACGTTCCCTTTCAAGCCTCCACACTATGAAGTTCAGAGTGCTACCCGGACCCTGCCCCTCAGTGTACCCAGGATGCCTGCACTCTGGCACTAAATATGAACAAGTGTTAGAAGAGACGGAGTGTGACAAAACAACCATAACTTTACCTTAAACACAAGGAAATTTTTATTTCTCTCCCTCAAAACAATCTTGATGAAGGGGCAGGAAGGAAGCCTCCACTATCTTAAATGACTGAGGTCCTTCTATTTTATTGCCCTGCTGTCTTCTATGTGATGTTTCTGACTCATTAAATTTTTAATATCTTAGAACAGCACATAGCAGGCACGGACAAACAACAAAGAAAGACTTGGATTAAAGTGAAGGAAATGATTTCCCTATCCTAAGTAAGCTGTAAGGTGCTTTTCCTTTTTTCACCTTCTCCTTGGAGTCAGCCGTTCTACCTGAGTTCCACTAGATGGCAGCACACACACATATATAGTGTATAAATGTGCGCCTCCTTTTCTTAAAACTGAAGGAAACTACAAATCCCGACATGCATTATTAAGCGCCTGACTTGTTTCTGTACAAAGGTCTCGAGTTTGTTGCTCGCCCAGGGATCTGGTGGACGACATCCACTTGCTGCTCTAAAGTAAGTTTTCCTAATATTTTTTTAAATGACACTTCAGACTGGGACAGGGGGAGGTTTAGATTTGCTCTGTTCTGCAAGGTACCTCTTTCAAGATTAATCTCAGCAGTTAGATCAAGATAAGGGTGTGTTTTTAACAAGTTTGAAACTCTGGTATTTGTAAGTTTTTCAGTGTGGTTTTCACGTTGCATTTGTTGAGAGTTGCCTCATTTTACCATTTCAGGTCACGTTTGCCCTCATTTTCCCAAATAAATTCATTTTAGTTTGATAGTGTAGTTTATTCCAACAGTAAGGCTTTGGCCCTCAAATTTGGCCCCGGAAAGACAAGACCAGCGAGGAAGAGATTTCAGAGTGAGCGAAGCGGCTGCTCTGTGCTTGAGCAGTTGTTCAGTAAGCGCCTCTCCGGTGTCAGTGAATCCTAGGGAAAACCTTGGTACGTGCCTCCCGTGCCATGCACCTAAAACCGGCAATGACAGGGGGGCAAAATAATAACTTTTTAATACACCATGCCCAAGATGGGGGGGCGGGTATTGGAGTCTCTTACTTTCTGAAGCATACATATCTCTCAACTCTTTACGTGTTTAGAGTGAAAATGTATCACTCGTGTAAGAAGAAAGAAAAAAAAAAGAAAAAAAAAACGGTGCAACTCCCTGGCATCAGAGGAGGTCGGGCACTGTGAAAGTTCAGCCTCCGGGGCGCATAACAAATGCAGCCTTTCTCCGAGAACATCATCGGTGAAGCTGTAAGCAGGTCCCTGGAGCCGCTTGTTAGTGGGGCCCTCTGAGAAGCAAAACTCCAACACAGAGTTAAGGCGTGCACGCGTGTACTAGAGAAAATGCTGATACGAGAGGAAATGAGAGAACCGACCGTCGGACCCCCCGAGGGAGGCCCCAGCCACCGTAGGGCTGGGAGCGAGGGCCGCCGGCTGGGCTGGGCGGTGGCCGGAGGGTCCGCAGGGTCTCTTGTGTCCCGCAAAGCGGGTCTGCCTTCGCGTGGATGCGAACTCACGCACCGGCCTCAGCGCACAGCCAGCGCGGCCGCGTGCGGACCTAGAGGGCGCCCGCCCGAGACCGCAGGAACAGCGCGACCCACGAGGTCTTCTCTTGGACCTGCAATCCGAGGCCTAGGTTTGAATTCACAGCCTCGAGACACGGCACAGACCACATCATCCCTTTGAAGGTAGTGCACTGGTGTCCAGGCCCGGCCTCCTGTCTGAAACGCTGCGCTCGTCCCGCTCCCCTCTCCATCCCCTCCCTCCCTGCAATTTCACGGGAGGCCCTTGAGGCCACAGCACACCCTCCCCAGGAAACCACCCACTCCCCACCCCCGCCCGGGACTGCTCCACAGTGATCTTCCTGAAATACGTGTCTGATTCTGTCACACTCTTTCCATCAGTCCTTTGGTGCCCATTGCCCACAGGTGTAACCAGCCCCTCAGCATTCCCAGCTTAGATAAAGCGCGGAGGCTTGGTTACAGCAAAAAGCCAAGGTTGGCTGGGGAGAACAGAGATAGGTTCCAACAGAATGGACTAGATCATGTGAGTCCTCTAGGCAAGACTAGCGAGCTACCTGGACTTTATCAGGCAGGTAATTGAACAGGGTGATTGTGTAGGTTATCTGTACATGTACCAAGTAGTGGGCTCGCTACGCCCCTCCCCCAGCTTTTCTATCATAGAGGCTAGAAAACAAAACCTCAAATTCTAGCCCCTGCTGCTAGAGCTGGCCTGTGAAATGAAGACTGGAATTTCTGAGGAGGGCTTGCTTCTCAAAGAAAGTGAGGACACTCTGGAAGCCTTCTCGCTTTTATCTCCCACCACCACCTTTTTCTTTTTCTTTTTTTGCCTGGAATGGGGATGTGATGCCTTGGGACAAAGCAGCCATTGTGTGACTTGTGAGATCAGAGGCACCCATTAAGAACAGTGGGGTGAGAAAATGTACTCAGTTCCTTGAAGATGGCCTCAGTTGATCATCATTTGACTCTTAACTACCCCCAACCTCATCATTAGCCATTCCCTCTCATCCTGCGATCTACGGTCCAAGAACCAAATATCTTATGCATATCTTATTTTCCCTAGGTCAGAATTCCTCAGTCCTCCATTCTGAAAATTACTGCTGGTAGCACGCTGAAACTTTAAGAGAGGATCAGCAGCATTGTGTGGTGAAATGTCACATAGCAAAGGAGTCAGGAGGCCTGAGCTTAGTTCTGGCTCCATCATTAACTGGGTCTGTGACCTTGAGCAAGTCAGATCACTTTTCTCATCTATAAAATGGGAGTACTGAACGTGATTTGATTTTCCAGCTCTTTTGTTCAATGACTCTCTGAGGCCAACCATGAAATCATCCCAGTGACAAGGAAAAGCCATAGATAATCGATAGTGCAAACCCCAACAAAAGTTTACAGCAGAGAAATCAAGAAGCAGCCCCCACTAGTAAGGGCACATACAATGCTATAGCAGTTTGTATAGGGACAGTGGGGAGAACGGTGGTGGTAGCGAGGGGAAGGACTCCCGCCCCTGCTCCGTTAGTATCAGATGCTGTCTTCTCTAAGTACTCAAGAAACCAATTGGTGGATTAAAGTCCAATATATCACTTCAGTGGGTTGTGCTAAATGTTTCTGATAATACCGAGCTAGGTATCTGGAGTCAGCATTTTTGGAGAATTCAGATGATGGGACGATTTGTACAGAAATGCTGTCATTAAGTTCTTAAAGAGTTCACTGAACTGTTCATTCTAGACATCGCTGCACAGGACCAGGTGCTCAGCCATTCAACACGCGTCTGTAGCTTAAGCCGCAGGTTCCATTATGGGTCGACTTGATGGGAAGGTCATCGTGCTGACAGCTGCCGCTCAGGGGATTGGCCGGGCAGCTGCCTTAGTAAGTTGTTATCTGTGGTTTGCCTACTAACTTTGAGGTATTGAACTATGTGGGCAGATCCCATGGTCATTTAATTCTGCTCTACTTTTTTTTTTTCTTGTTTATCTTGTGCTTCTGTTGTCTTAAGTTACAAAAAGAAAAGTCGCTATCCCTGACCCCCGGGGAAAAGACGAAGGCATGAACACCTCCCATGTTTATTATGTGACATCACTGATAACCTCTGACTCTGAGAGAGGTAGTCCTCTGCCTCAGTTTCTCTGCACTATATTTACTGCACGGGCCCTATGGGAACGCATAGATTTCTGAAATTACATCAGTTCAGGTAGAGGACTCTAGAGTTACAAGACTATCGGGTTACCTTTACCTTCTAATTTATACCAACTTCTTGCACATTATAACCCCCACCTTAGCTAATTAATGCATTTAAAGTATTGACTTTAATAAAAGTATTTGACATTTATGAAAACAGTAGTATACTCTGAGGAGAAAAAGTGTTGAAATAACCCATTTTCTTTTATTATTTGGAATATAAGAAGTGGAAAATAAGAACTTGCTCAGAAACGAGAAATACAGGCTATCACATCACAGAACAGTATTTTGAGAGGTATCAGTAACAGAGTCCTAGATTTTAAAAACACGATTTTATTTGATAATGCTTAAAGGGACAAGGTTAGATGACAAGCGCAATGTATGTTACGTTGTCCTAATGATAAAAATAATAACAATGGGAAGGGTGAAGTGAGAGTAGAGAGCTTGAAATTCCATCTATTTTATAGGGAAAAAGTGAAAATAAGATAAAGGGGGAAAGGCTAACTGACTTTCCATTAATGAGAATGGAATCAAATCAAATAAACAAAGGATTTACTTGTATATTGTGTCTCCCAGGCTTTTGCAAGAGAAGGTGCCAAAGTCATCGCCACGGATATCAATGAGTCCAAACTTCAGGAACTGGAAGAGTACCCCGGTAAGCAAGTTGGCAGTGTGAACTTGGGATTCAGACTCTGCAAAGTATTATAAAGCAATAGTGCTCAGATGCTGAAAGAAAATTCCTTACCCACTCAGTTCCACTGGCCTTCTCTTTAGAACCTGATTCTCTGATATCAAATCTATATTGTGCAAACCTACAGACAAAAATCTATATATTTAAATGTATAAACATTCTAAGATGTATACCTGAAATATTTTATTTATGTAACATGTTAAAGGATTCAGTCCTCAGTTACAAAATTACATGTGAAAATTTAACAGTTTTTGTTAACTTTTTGTTTTTAAGTATGCTCTAGCCCAAGGTAGAACTTGAACTAATGACCCAGAGGTCAAGAGTTGCACGCTCTACCAACTGAGCCAGTCAAGCAAGCGCCCCTGTTTTGTTAACTTTTTTTTTTATGCTTTTATTTATTTCTCAGAGAACGAGAGCACACAAGCAACGGGAGAGGCAGAGGGAAAAGCAGGCTCCCCACTGAGCAGGGAGCCCGATTTGGGGCTATATCCCAGGACCCTGGGGTCATGACCTGAGCCAAAGGCAGATGCTTAACCAACTGAGCCACCCAGGCACCCCTTATCTTTAACTTTTAACGATGACTTTCCACTTGAGTGCCTCTCTGTGAGGGAAACACTGTCCAACAGAAACATGTGAGCCACATGTATAATTGTAAATTTTCTAGTGGCTACATTTAATAAGTAAAAAGACACAGGTGACATTAATTTTAATAATATATTTAATCAATACATCTAAAATATTACAATTTTAACATACACAGTATTAAAAAAATTTACACAGTAAAAAAAATTTAACATACACGGTATAAAAAATGGAATATTTTACATTTCTTATACCAAATCTTTGAAATGCACGTGTACTTTACAGTTCCAGCACATTTCAGTTCAGACTAGCTGCATTTCAAATGCTCATACTGGAGACAGCTCAGCCTTAAATCATATATCATGATCAGAAACTGTAAGAGATTAACTTGTTTGGGTGCATATTGTCCCTCACTGCACCCCACTAAACCTTAATTCCAACATCAGAGGGTTTCGATTGGCGTTACTCGAAAGAAATCAGGACATAGAACTCATTTGAAAGTTAACCGTTTTGGCAAAATAGAACTGGCTACATGAAAAACTGAGTTCACTGAATTAGTTAACTGAATTAGACCATGTGGAGTTATTTCAACAAGTCTAAGGGAAGCTGCTGTCCTAGAAAAGCACAAAGCAAAGGAAGTTCTTCTGAAACTCAATTTTAGTCTTCCCCTTCTTCATTTATAATCTTTCTTTTCTATATCCAAAAGGGAAGAATAAAATAAACCATATATTTTTAAAATCATACAAATGACCAAAAAGCCTATTTGTTGGTTTAGGGGTTTTTTTTGTTTTTTTTTTTTAGTAGCTAGTACAGCGTGTCTCTCTCAGATCCCACACCAGATCTCTCATGGTCAGTGTTTTCATCTCTTCTTCTGGCCTCTTGTTTCTTTTTTTTTTTTTTTTTAAGATTTTATTTATTTATTTGACAGAGAGACGCAGCGAGAGAGGGAACACAAGCAGGGGGAGTGGGAGAGGGAGGAGCAGGCTTCCCACTGAGCAGGGAGCCTGATGCGGGGCTCGATCCCAGGACCCTGGGATCATGACCTGAGCTGAAGGCAGACGCTTAACGACTGAGCGACCCAGGTGCCCCTGGCCTCTCGTTTCTTCTTGCAGTTTAGTCCAGACGTAAGTGATGGTACCCATGACCAACAAAGTCATTTCTAGTAAATAAAAGTAAAGGGCACAAATAGAAACAATCTCTTAGCTCACCGCACCTCAGACAGAATTCAGCGTCACTGTAGCAGTGATTCAACCTCTGGGGAAAGGAAACGCTGGAGAGGACCCACTTGCCCGTCTTACTGCTGGCTTACTCAGAGGCATCTGATACAGAGCTCAAGATAGGGAGGACCTGAAGATTTTTACTAATAAGATTCTTAAGATTTCTAAGACCCCTACTAATGGCCAACAATCCTATGAAGCCTGACTAGACTAATATTACAGTCTTCACATTTCAGAACAGCTAAATCTTCAAGGCTAAACATTTTATGAGTTAAAGGTAAATCATGTCCTTTGTTTTATTTTTCAGGTATTCAAATTCGGACCCTTGACGTCACAAAGAAGAAACAAATTGACCAGTTTGCCAATGAAATCGAGAGACTTGATGTTCTCTTTAATGTTGCTGGGTAATTCATACTTTTTAATTTCACTGTCCTTACAGAAAGTTTTCTATGACTTATTTAATCACTTTTGATAATATGGCAAAATTATTCATCATGAACCATTATACATTTCTTAGGAAATACAGCTAGAGTTTAGACAGAATTTTTATTCCAAGATTCAGCAGGTGAGAAAGCCATAGAAGTGGACACGGGCTTGAGTCCTAAGGGAAATTATGGTCTACTCAAGAGAACTGGTAGTAATCCAGACCTGTTGCTCTTCTTAAGGCTGGTAACGGCTCCCACCAATGGACTGGTTGTAGATGCTCCACTAAGACATAAAATAAAATGAAAAACTGTTTTCCAGTAGATGTCTTTAAAACAAAGCATATTTACCAGAAACTCAGCCTATGGAAATGCAGGTGTTCCCCATTTTTTTGGCACAACATTCTAGCCAGTCCTCCACACACCTCCCAAGCCCAGGGTTTCTTATCGGGACAATGAGCCCCACCCAGCAAAAGAAGTCTGCGTGTTGCACTTCTGTAGAGAGCGCAAAGAGAGTGGCTAAATTGAACTTACTGGGGTGGTACCCAATGTGCCGAATCAGGTACGAATGTGGGGAGACTGGAACTGGACCCACCACACAGACGACAGGTAGTGCTAGCAGTTTCCCTACTCAGGAGCAGCTCAGTAGAGGTGAGCACAATGGACGTTTACACAGGAACTAAGTGACATTCCCCTTTTCTTATGGAATGTTATATTTGTACTGCTGCATTGATAGAAAAATTCCAGAGCCTTCTAATATATTTTTGTTTTTCTTCCTAATCATTTTTCAAAAAAAAAAAAAAAAAAAAAAAAAAAATCCGTCTATAGTTTGTCATATGTTACATGGTGTGGAAATTAAATTAAAGCAACAATATATGGCAATCTATTTTATAAACTGCTCATCCCTTATATGAGAATATACTGAGAGCCATGACCAAAAAAAAATCAGTTAGGAAAAATAGTTTTTGAACATCTTTACATTAAACTTTCAGCAACATAAGCGATATAGAAGTAGAGCATGTGGTTCTTGCTGTCATACGAAGGATGAGCATGTTATTTACAAGTGTGACTTGACAAGGAGTGAAGGCTGCTTGAAGAGTTTTGTTTTGTTCTGCTCTGTTTACTCAGTATGTTAGAACCGTATGATAGAGATACTACTTTGCTACCCTGCAATGTGGAGACAGTGGTTTTCCTTGCAATTTGATTTTATTTCTCTTTGAAAACAGTTAAATCTGTGCCACTGGAGGGCACTATAGCTCCTGAAATAGGAGTCAGGGCGGGCGTCCTAGTCTCACGTTTGTTTTTGACATTTCCTGTGCAGTTCCTGCCGAGATTCTTATGTTGGGTGGCCCCAGACTTTTGCCTTTCTCTTTTAACAGAAGGATGTTGTTTTCAAATAAATGTATTTAGCTTAAGTTGTTGGATACTCATTAACCTAATGTACTAAGTGATATTCCGAATTGTTAAAATCTTCATAAGAGAAGGGTCAATGGTCTCATTATGTGACAATAAAAAAATGGTAAGGAAATGGAATACAAATCTTCTTAAATGATCATTTTTCCCCACTGGTCAATCCCTCTTCCAGTTTTGTCCATCACGGAACCATCCTGGACTGCGAGGAGAAAGACTGGGACTTCTCGATGAATCTCAATGTCCGCAGCATGTACTTGATGATCAAGGCATTTCTTCCTAAAGTAAGGACTGCCACCACAGGATAAGTACCACTGGATAAGTAGGTCTCCGCACTGGGCACCAAGAAAGGGTCCTCACATGTGCCGAAGAGTGACAGTAGCTAACATAATGACAAACCTGTACTGAATATTTATTTCAAGGCATTTAATATAAATTAACTCATTTAACCTTCCAGTTAAGAAATAGTCAGGAAATATTAAGCACTATTTGCAGGTCTCCCTCATTCTAGGTGCAGAAGACATATCAGAAAACTAAACAAAGTCCCTTCTGTAAGGCAGATCCCATTTTTGAGGAGACAGGATAATGGGTAATGAGACATAACTTGGGGAGTGATTAGAAGTACTACAAAGAAAAAGAAGCTAGGATATCAGTAAAGTCCAGGAGGGCCTCACTGAGAAGCTGGAATTTTCATAGAGGTCCAAGTGAAATGAGGGAGCTAGCCATTCAGGTATATTCGGAAGAGGGTGCCAGGGAGAGGGACAGCAAGGAGGCATGCAGAACCAGAGGAATGTGATGACGTAGGTACTACTTTATCACATCCACTGTAGAGAGGATAAAACCGGGAGGTGAGGTCACTTGCCCAAGCCCACATAACTATCAAGTGGTTAGAGTAGGATCTGAACCCTGGAAGTTGGGCCCCTTCTTGAATTTCAGTATCTAGGCACATGCTCTCAAGATAGACCTACCCCCATTGCTTTTCTGTTCCCTGATACGCCCCTTGTTTTTAGCTGAGCCACACAGGTACCAGAGAGGTGAGAGCCAGTGTATGCTCAAGAGAGAGCATTCCTCCTGAGTCTGCTACCCTGGAATTCCACAGCCTTCACACAGCTCATCAATGTTTTTCATTTTATTTTACAAACAAGCATTAAATGCCTTTTGATATAAAGCCCACACTAGGTGTTCTGGGGAGAGGGGAGTGTAAATATGAGAAACATTGAGTTCAAATGAACTGACAAGCCAATAGTAAGCAGACAGCACAAGCTCAGACAATGGAAGGGGTTGACTGAGTATAGAATTAGCTCAGTCCAAGGTTGTCAACTGAACCCTAGTGAAATGCAGAGGAGCATTCTTCTCTTCCATCCCAGCCAGATTAGATGACGGACATACCGAAAGCTGCCAACCCAGCACAGAGAAGAGCTTTCTAATGGCAAGGCAGGACCGATGCTTTGCTCTAAACATTCAACCTAATGTCAAGATGAACATTAAAAGGAAAATTAGGAAAACCTGACTTGGAAACAAAGGAATTTGTTTTAATCTGCTTGTTTAGCACCTAGAAAGGATTTCTCAGTGGGTCCATGGGATGTTAAACTAGCAAATTTTTTTAATAAAATCTCACTTTTTCTGCTTATTTGGAGTTCATGAGAATCTATGTTATTTGGGACTTGAATTATTTTTTTTGAAGACTGATCCTAGGATATGGGAGAGAAGCAGAGGCTCTGGTAAAAGGAGAAAGCCTAGGTCACAGGAGGTAAGCTGTCATGTGTGCATAACCAGCCTACTTCATGTCTGGAATGCTCTACAAATGTGACCTAAGGCAGCAAGGGTGGGATATGGTCCAGTGCAGCTGAAATTTAAACTTGTCAGTAAGCGTTAACTTCTGAAATATCAAACACTAACTTGCAAATTAGTGAGTTTACCTATGATTTAAAGCATCTTCACAATAATCCATATGAGCCAGTAACACCCATTTGTAAAACATCCCAAGAGATATTAATGACTGGGATGGGCAATCAGAAGGAGTCAATGCCACTTCTGAAAGGGACAGTAACCAGCCTGACCTGAGATTCTGGACTCTGGCTTCACAGCCTGAACTCTGCCCCTCCTTCACTGTGCACCGTGGGAGATGGCACTTGCATTCTATTCTATTTAAAATGAGGGTGAAAAAATTACATGATCCCTGTCTGGGATCCTCTGGGTTCATTCACTGTGATGCACGTTTCCAGGTTAGAACTTTCCAGGGGAAGCCAGGATTTACAGCCCAGGCAGATCTGAAAAGTCAGGGGGTCAGAACATAGAAACACTTTTGGAAATTTTTGTTCATGGGTAGACATACTGAAAACCATTCCAAGACTGGAATTTAAGTTAAAAGGCAAAGAACAAGTTGAAAATACTGTAAGAAGAGGTCAGTGCAAAATCCAAAGTCAGGGAAGTCTCGGCTATGTGGAAGTTTCTCCCCTTTGCTGTATTTTAGAAGATTCTCTAGCACATAGAGGTGCTTTGGCAAGTATTTGTTGAATGAATAAATGAATCTAGGTTGTCAGTCCAGGTAGAGGTCAGACATGGAATCACCAAAGACCCAAGAAACCAAGGTCTGCCAGGTTTAGGAGCTGAGCTCAGTGGGGACAGAAGAGCTGGGTTAGGGTAGGACTAACTAGATCTACAGCTAGAGGGAATTTTTCAGAGTTCTTTCTTAGCCCCTCCCTGAGTTTCTGGGAGATCAGTCGTATGGAGGATCCCTACGTACTAGGCACTTCACTTTATACCTGCCAAGTCGTATTTGCCAGAGAGGGCTATCGCGTGGGGAGCCAGGAGGAGCATGCGCACTCTACCAGCAGGCACTGAGCTGGTGTGGAGAAGACTTCATGGAAGGAGGCAAGGACAGGGCTTTAGAACCAGCAGACAGACCTGGCCGAATAGATGGATCCAGTGTCAGGGGCAGCACTAGCGTCTCCTAGTGACTATATTCTAAAGTTTTGCCTGAGGAATTGCTGCACTTCTGAAGATGAGAGACTGAACTTACTTCATAGCTCATCTTTATATATTCAGTTGTGGTATATGTATTCTATAGGTATTAAAAACAGGTTACATATGAGAATGATAGCTCAATAAAACTGGAAAAAAATTAAAAATAAGTAAAAATGGGTTATTTGCAAGGTTGGATAAGAAAGAATAATGTTAAGGCTTTGTTTTCAAGCCTTGACTAATTTTCCTGGTCTTTTTTGATGAGGACCCCATTTCATATGATCCTGTTTATCACACAGACAAACAAGTTGGGTTCAGTATTTTCACCCCTGCTGCTGTCCTTGACTTGGTTTGGGTCGCCTCAGCCTCTCCTTGCACTCTTTAATCCATCCAACACAATGCCTTAGGTTGTTTTAGACTCTCTGCTCTTGGGTGCAAATAGTAACTAAGTATCAAAACAGAAAGGAAGGGAATACTATAGGGAGACCTATCATCTTGGCAGCCTCTTCCCTGGACCAGTCACTCACCTCCATTCCTGCACCTCTCGGTCTGAAAGCGGCTAGAGCAACTCACGGAAGCAGAAGCGACTTCTCTCTCTACACTGACTGTTGAGACGCTTTCTTTTTAGAAACTTCTTACTTGACTTTCATGGCACAGCATGTCCTGCATTTCCTTCCTCTGTTCTCTGGTCGTGGTCTTCCATTTCCTCTCAGCAGTTGTAACTCTTTACCACTCTCCGTGTCCACCAGCCCCGCCTTGTTTATGGTCATCCTCCTAGCCTGATTTCAATGAGAAGGTAGTGCCCATCGGGCAGGAGTGCTTTTCAGGTGTTGCTTCTTCCCCCAAAGCATTCACGGGTCTCCATGCCCCCGGACCTACCTACATGCCCTGGAAAACACACATACATGTTATACTTAAGTATACGTTCATCTGAAAACATTTCTAATTCCTAGCAGCCTTTTTATTCATTATATTATTCCTTTAGGTCTGGGGCAGGGCCCAGCAATCTGCACTTTAAACTAGCATCTCGGGGTGCCTGCATGCCGCAGTTAAGCATCCGACTTGATTTCAGCTCGGGTCATGATCTCAGGGTTGTGAGATCAAGTCCCATGTAGTGCTCTGCGCTCAGCAGGGAGTCCACTTAAGATTCTCTCTCTCCTTCTCCCTCTGCCCCTACCCCCACTCAAGCTCTCTCTAAATAAAGTAATTAATTAATTAAAAAAGAACTAGCACCTCAAGAGATTTTGATTCATCACAGTGTATGGTCCACCTACTGTGTACCATGTAGGAGGACAAAACAGCAACAGATCCTCCTCTTCAGACCTTCACACTTTGGGGGAATTCTGAGGGAAGTGTTCTTAGGAAACACTTCTTCGATGAGGGAGGCAGGCCTCAGCACGTATAACCATTTACCACGTCCTGCACTTACTACCTAAACCATCTCCACCCCTGTTGCCCACAGACATTTCTGCATCTCTGCTTTCATCAGTCCTTTCCGAAATCACTCTGTCAGCTTCCATTGGGTCTCCTCGACATGGTGCTGAAGTAATCTTAGTATTCCCCAAATGTAAACATGCCGCTGCTCTGCATTAAACCCCTCATTGTCACCACCGCAGTGCCTTCAGGGTAATGCCCAAATTCCTAAACTTAGCCCCCATTGGCCTCTGCAGCCTCATTCCTCCCACGCCTAGCATTCCAACCAGACCCATCCCCCCTCCCTCCCAGTTCCGTGATACAGCCTCGATACGTGTGGTTCTTGCTTCTTAAATCACCTTTCTATTTTTCTGGCTAATACTTTGGTTTTCAAAACTCAGCCCACCTCTTTCCTCCTTAGGAACCCTCCTCTGAGTGTCCTGCAACCTGGATTGGTCCCTTCCCGCCACCCTGATCCCCCCCCCCCCCCCCCCCCCCCCCCCACCCCCATCTGGAGGTCTCTGCTGTTGCCAGATGCTGGTTATGTCAACCCCTCCAGTCAGCTGGCAACTCTCTATAGGCAGGGAGTGTGTCATTTATCTTCCAAACTCCTGGACCTACCACTGTATCTGATCATAGTACGTCTTCAACAAACATGTGTCAGGGGCACCTGGGTGGCTCAGCTGTTAAGTGTCTGCCTTCGGCTCAGGTCATGATCCCAGGGTCCTGGATCAAGCCCCGCATCAGGCTCCCTGCTCAGCGGGAAGCCTGCTTCTCCCTCTCCCACTCCCCTGCTTGTGTTCCTGCTCTCACTGTGTCTCTCTGTGTCAAAAAATAAATGAAAAAAATCTTTAAAAAAAAAAGTGTCAAAGTAAGACTTTTCCAACAGCAGGAATACAAAGTAATGATTATTGTTCATTAACTTTTCATTTAGCTCAGAGTTCCTTCTTGGTCTTACTGATGCTTTTGTGCCAAAGGAAGGCAGTAATCCTCCTGGGAAATGTTCCTGCCAGTGAGTGTGTAATGACTGTTAAGACTGCCTCACAGCGCTTCATGTTAATAGCTAATAAGATGCTTTTGCAAACCATAAGTAAATGCAAATCTTCTAAAGAGGTCGCATTCTTATCTAGCAGAGTGGCTTTTTTTTTTTTTTTTTTGGTATTTGTTTTGTTTTGGCAGATGCTTGCACAGAAATCTGGCAACATTATCAACATGTCATCTGTGGCTTCCAGCATCAAAGGTAGGTCTGTCTTCCTCTGGGAATCATGATGCACAGACCCCCATACCTTCACGAGCTGTGGGTTTTTGCAATGAGCGTAGCAGAGATTATAAAGCCCACACATAATTTCAAAACCACTTTTTAAAAAATTGGTATTAAGATCCTTACTGTCAGTCTTTTTTGCCTTCGTTGTAAACCAGTCGTAAAAAGTAAATTTGTTTCTTTTGCCCTTCCTTGTATTCCTTCTAATGGATGTGAACATGAAAATCAGGCCGGAAGAAGGAAATATTAATCCCTTTAATTAGCCAAGAAAGATGTATCAAACACTATGTGCCCCTCACGGTCCGCAAGGGGGAGGATCAGGCAAGTGCACGTCTTCTGCAGTGTGATAGTATTACCACACGGGTTCGTGCAAAGGGCTGGCACCGCTGATACGGGGGAGTGCTTCCCCAGGTCGGCTGATCTGGGCACTAAACACAAGTCAAGTCCAAGAGCCGGGACTGCAGTGCCAAATGGAAATGACATCACAGTCCGGCAGATGGACTTGGGCACTTCAAGTGAAAGTTACTGCCATGGTGGCATCCCTTCTCAAGAACACCCGTGAGCCTGCCCGAGACAGGAAGGCAAAGAGAGGGCGCAGGCCTCCTCACTGTTTGGTCTGGTGTTTGTTCTGTTGTTCTTTCTCGTGATTCTCTTTTGGAATCCGCCCAAGGGTTCTGCCCACCGGTAATGAGAACCTAAGACCACTGCCGTCACCTCAGTGCGGGTTCTCCTCAGTCTCGACTGAGTTGTGCCAGGAACGGTATTATCTTCCCACAGTCAGAAACCGGCCCTCTTCAGGGAGAAAACCTGATACCAAATTTTAAAAAGGGCGGGATGGCAGGAAGCAAGACAGCGGTTCCTGGGGACAGTCAGTTGTGCTCCCTTCCTCAAGGAGACTGTGGTTTCGTTCCTTCGATTGTTGAGTCTTCCTTTCACCTCAGGGGTCCTGAACAGATGTGTGTACAGTGCCACCAAGGCGGCTGTGATTGGCCTCACGAAGTCCGTGGCCACAGACTTCATCCAGCAGGGGATCAGGTGCAACTGCGTGTGTCCAGGTGAGGCAGGCTCCACAGGGCTGCCACTGAGCTACCCATCCACGGAAGTTTGTTTACCACGTTATAGTGATCCTGTCACTGGGGAAAAGCTCAAATGAAAAAGGGTCTATGCTTATTAAGATAACAGTCCAACAGGGGTGCCCGGGTGGCTCAGTTGGTTAAGCGTCTGCCTTGGGCTCAGGTCACGATCCCGGGGTCCCGGGATCGAGCCCCAGGTCGGGCTCCCTGCTCCGTGGGGAGCCTGCTTCTCCCTCTGCCCCTCCCCCTCTTGTGCTTGTTCTCTCACTCTCTCTCTCACTCTCTCTCAAATAAATAAAAATCTTAAAAAAAAAAAAGATAACAGTCCAACAGTAGATTGGGAACGAGATTCTTAGTCATTAGGAATGAACCACAGGTGCAAAGGGTTTAAATGGTATTCATGTGTGTGGAACAATTCCAAATCCTGTGGCCAAGACACATAACTGGCCAGAGCTTGGTGTTTAGGAAGCCGACCAGAGATGCCCTTGTCAGGGGAAAGATGAAAAGTAGACCATGCTCATAGGACCACAGGAAGAAAGTAAAAGCAGCCTCCCAGAACATAGGGAGCTACTGAGTCTTGTCAATCACCTGGGGTGACCCATAAATAAAAAGGAGGGGTTAATACCCTCCTTGATGCTATCAAAAGAGGACCAGCAGACGGTGGCCTGCAGGAGAAATCTGGCCCACCACCTGTGTAGTAAAGACACTCGTACTCTAACACATCCGCACCCAGTTTGCATACATATTGGCTATGACTGCGCTCCTGCTACAAAGCAGAGTTAAGCAGTTGTAATTGACCAAATAAATGGTTCTCAAAGTGAAAAATATTCTCTATCTGGCTTTTTTTTTTTAAGAGTTTATAAATTTATTTGACAGAGGGAGAGACAGCGAGAGAGGGAACACAAGCAGGGGGAGTGGGAGAGGGAGACGCAGGCTTCCCGCAGAGCAGGGAGCCCGATGCGGGGCTCGATCCCAGGACCCTGGGATTGTTCCCTGAGCTGAAGGCAGACGCTTAATGACTGAGCCACCCAGGCTCTCCTTCTCTATCCGGCTTTTTACCAAAATGTATGCTGACCTCCCATAGAAAGGAAAGAAGAAAAGCAGAACTTAGTAGACAGGACATTCGATCTGTCCAAACAAAAGCATTCTGTAACTTATTTCATAGGAATAACTTATTTTCTTAATAACTGTGGGTATGTCTAGGAAGTAGATATGCCCTTCCACTGGGTTCCACTGACCCAAAGGGAGCATAAGAAGAATCACTAGCTTCTTGTCTGAAAAGGATTTAAATATCACATTTCCAGGATCAAGGTGGCCCTCAGGGGTTCACAACTGGTATTGGGGGGTTGGAGAGAAGCAGCATTTTGCAGTTACCCATGGAATTTTTCGAAACCTAAAGTGCATGCCAGAATTTGGAGAAAGAGTTGATGGGGAAAATCATGTGTCATTTGGAAAGTTCCACACAAGATTTTTATATATTCCACCGTGGTCTCCCCTTGCTGACTGATCAGTTTAAAAGAGGACTACAGAATACCCATCAAGCTGCAGAATTTCCATGACCGAGGTGTTCTATCTAATTTTTCCTGGACTAGAAAGGTAAACCTAGGTAACACCAAGAAAAAAGAGGATATAGACGAGACGGTTTCACTGGGTTTTAACATACCCACCGGTGACACCTGACTCTAGCTATTTGGGGTACCATTTACCCAGTGGAATAAATGGCAAAATGATTTGGAAAATGTAGTTGTTTTTAGCAGCTGGACTTTTCATAAGATTGGAAAATATATTATCAAACTGTCTGGAACAAGGAACTAGCTGTGACTCAAGAGCCAGTCACAGAAGAAAACCTGACAAGGGACGAGTGTGTCTGGGATGGCGCTGATGGTGGTGTAGTCACAACTCTTCCACACCAGGCTTGTGTAGACGGGGGCATGCCGTGTCAGTCTGGGCCATGGACACAGTGGAGCCAGGACAGTGCAATTAAGTAGAAAGCATAGGCTTGCTCTGTGGTTTCAGTTAATAGCCATTCATAGCAGCCATATGAAAGAGATGATGCTCACTTGTCTGGAGTGGTGGGAAGGTATCAAAGTTGTATTTTAAAACTGGATTTTGAGGATATTGTTAAGTGAAAGCTTAGGTGTCTTAAGCATACTGTTGGTAGGATCCTGGGCTGTTAGGGGGCTGTGGGTGAGAGAAGTAAAGAAAATATTATTGGAAGCTGGGTACAAGGGAATCTTTGTTACGTGGTTCCAGAAAGTTTATCAACACTATTGCCTGCAGTGATGTGGAAGGTAGAAAATGTTCCTAATGAACTGGGTATCTAGTAAAGGCAGTTTTCTACTCTGCGTGTTGAAAGGGCTGCCCACTAATGGTGAAATGTGAGAGGAGACGGGTGACCTAAAGAAATGGTGTTAAACACAAAGGAGCCAGAACTTCCTGACTTTGAAGACTCCCACCTTCTCCAGAGAAATGACAAATGATGCTAAAATTGAGAAATGGTTTCCTGGTGAACATCAACCCGATGGCACTCTCGGGACCAGAGGGTACGACTGTAAAATCATCTGTTATGACCTTACAGGTATCATGTGGTTGCCCAGAGGACTGTCAGCCCCCACAAAAAAAGGCTGTCTAAAGACAATTCACAGGTGACAAATTAATAAAAAATCTGGGCAACTTGCTCTGTGGGAGCTTGAACCAAGTGGGATTTTAAACATTTTAGCATCAGTCTTACTTTTTTTAAAGTGAAATAATTTCAAATTATATTTTTATGAGAAACATGAAACTGTGGTTAAAAATAGGAATTTGAAACCAATGAAAATAGGCAAGATAATGAGGAAAATGTAGAACCATCTAAATTACTGAGGACCATAACAAGCATGGCACCACCTCTGAGGATCCTGAGTGGACCTGACAGCAGAGAATGGTTTTGAGATCATTAAGGCATCCTGGGCTCTTGTACTGGTGAAGTACTTATACGAATGTATGGACATCTCAGGGTTGTTCTGAGGAGTAACTGAGATAATACATGTAAAAGTGCTTAAAATCCATAGTGTCATGTCAATGTACTGTAAGGAAAATATGTCTTGGGAATGTTGGGCGATTCACCCAGAGTCCTTGCCTCGTGTCACAAGGAATTAAGATCCGTATTTTTAAAAATCATAGAAAATGGAGGTGAAATTGTCATTCAAAGTCACGGAGAAGGATTTCACTGATGGTTGTGTCATATGGAAAGGAAGTTTAAAGTCTGTCAATGTCTTTTTCAGTTTGAGTAATTAACCAAGCTGAATGTTCCCCTTTGATTCAGGAACGGTTGATACCCCATCTCTGCAAGAACGAATACAAGCCAGACCAAATCCCGAAGAGGTATATCTACTGTTTTAGATTGTGTTGAAATCTTCTGGTTGAAAAGTGTGCTCTTCCTTACCTGGAGCAGACGGATTCATAGAGACAGACAGAAGGGTGGCTGCCAGGAGCTGGGGGAGGAGAGAACAGGGAGTAATTGGTTAATGGGTATAGAGTTTCCGTTTCGCAAGATGAAAAGAGTTCTAGACGGATCTGTTGCACAATAATGTGAATGTACTTAACACTACTGAACTATACACTTAAAAATGGTTAAGATGATAAAATACACATTATGTGTATTTTATCAGTTTCAAAAATTAAAAAAAAAAAAAGCCCTCCTCTTTAACTGATCTGATACAGTGTGTGTAGGTTTAACATAACACATAGTTTGAGTACCTTGAAAGTCACCATAGTCCTACTTGGTCCACAATTAATGATATAAATGATATTATCATGTATCATACATGATTAATCAAGGCAGCACGCCACTGGAACCTCTATAGATTCCTCTTGTCTTTGACCTCCTGAGGAGTTCACACTTCACCTCACATTACTGATAAGTGGTATGGTTTCTTGTCCCAGGCACGAAACTGTTTCCTGAAGAGACAGAAGACTGGAAGATTTGCAACCCCAGAAGAAATAGCCCTGCTGTGTGTGTACTTGGCTTCTGATGAAGTAAGCACTATTCTTCCCAGGGAGTTCATTATCCTCATTTGGCCACGATTTGCTTATCAAAATAATGTCATGTTAGAGAGTTGCAACATATATATGCTAAGAGGTTGCATTTACAAGATAGGGATAAGTTGTGATTTAATTTGCTCAAAGACAGACCACGTGATCTGAGCCGCCAACTCTTCCTCACTCAATGCTACATGTCACTAAATCTTGTAGCAAATGACATGGAGCATTGAAAAAATTAAATTGCTCAATTTTATGAGAGACAGTTGCTTTCAAATATTATAATTGGGGAAAGCCTGACTAAACGGAAGTCAAGGAATGAACCTCCAAAATTATGAGAGCTTCAGGTGAAATGGGGAGAGAGTTAAACAGATGTAATTGTCTCTAGAAGACACAGATTTGGCATCTGGTATTTTTAGTTTAAGAGAATCCTACTGGCTCTTTTTTTCTATGAATTCTTGTTTGTTATCACGTATGGAAATTCCCATTTCTATCTCTTTCCACTTTGCAACTATTTAGTAACCAGTTTCTTCCTTAATGGCTATTGTATATATTCTTAAATGGCACAAAACTACAAAAGCAGAAGCTACATTTATAAGGTATAGAGCACAAGAACATCCCTCTCTGTTTTATGTGTTTGCATGTTACATGACCAGGGAACTGCAGTGTATGAGAAGAGAGGAAGAAAGGGACCCAGGCAGAAGTGAGCAGGTGTGCTGCTGATGGCGTTAGCTCTTCTTTACAGTAACTTGGTACACACCAGGCAGTTGGTGAATGTGACAAATACAGTGGTTGAAATGTTTTAGTGATAGAAGTTATCACTTCTCGGGACTGTTAACAACAGTTGTTAGTCGCTGCAGGAATTGCTAAACAAATTACTAATAGAACAAGTTTATTGGCATTTGTGGTCTCTCTGACTCCGTATCTACAGAAGAGTTCATTTGATTTGGAGGTGCTGCTGAGGAGCTAAACTGCCCTTGTTTAGCCAGAGCTTAGGTTTCCAAATGTTTGGAAATGTTCTGCCTTGAAATGTGCAATCGAAAGACCTTTAGACTTTTAGAGGAACCCAGAGGAGTCCTATATGTGTAATAGAAAGCTTGCTTTAAAAAAAAAATTTGAGGAATTGGAGTCATTTCTTGGTAAAGTGTCTGATAACCCCCTAGTTTATCTACTGTATTTGATCAGTTTTCATAGATTGAAGTTTAAAAATTTCTGTTCTCATACTATGATGTCTTTCCTTCTTGCCTCTTCCATTGTCTCAGGCTTTACATAAATGTAAAAGTAAGAACACAAATTTAATATTCACGCTTAAGTTAAAAGATTTTTAAACCCCTACCACAAGGATTATTTCAGCTTTATTTCTTTGGAAAATGAAAAATTCTATGGAAAAAAAAGTAATTTTTTAAATTCTCTTAGTTTAGTACAGATTTGGATATCTGAAACTAGTGTATTTTTTCATAGCTTAACAGATGTAATAATTATTATTCATATAAATTTTAAAGACACATTTAGGGTGCTTCAGCTCCTGGAAACACTTATGTATTTCAATCAACTAAATATACAATATCTTATATAAAAAAATCTGTTTGGTAATTGACATGACCACTTTATGACAGACACTTGATGTTCAAAAATTTATTAATGGCATAAAACTCAGCTACTTTAGAATAGTTCTGAATTTCAAAATGAAAATGTACTATTTTAGCCTATACTTTATCCTAATTTAGGGAGTGGCTGCATATCACTAAACTTAATTTTCCGACTCTGAGACCAAACACCTGCTTAGAATGTGACTTTTGTGCTAAAACACTAGCCAGAGGCCAGTTGACTCAAGATCACAAGAACATGCAGCTGTTTCAAATCATCCAAAATTTAATTCAGATTTTCCTAAAATGTTTGTGAGGTATTCCTATTATCATGAATACATTGTTTAGCTATCTCAGTGAGGGGAAAATTGAAACACAACCTGTGTTAAACCTGGTTAATTGTTCTGTCTCCTTGTGTTTATCACTGCAGTCTGCCTATGTAACAGGTAATCCTGTCATCATTGATGGAGGCTGGAGCTTGTGATTTTGATCTCCTTGCTGGGAAGGCAGGCCCCTCCTGTCCACAGTGAACCTGGTTATGAAGAAAATTCACCCCTCATGTCTTTCCTGTTAGTGGCATATTAATGAAAACAAGCCCCTTTTAATGATGTCATTGTTCACGAGAGTCAGATTCTTTAAATATGTTAATCTCTTTCTAACCTCTTCTGAAATCATTGTAGGGAGATGACATAAAAGATAATGAACTCACTGCAAATGAATAGTTTTAAAATAAACCACAATTTGCAAGCATATAAAATTAAAATGTGAATATGAATAATGGAAAGTTTTTAAGAAAAAGGTATTAATTTGTATTTTACTTCTATTTCAAATTATTCAACTATTTTGTACAATTCTGCATTGGTCTGTACATGGATACTAATTTTAAAATTTTACACCATTACAAATGAACACAAGGTAGGAAGGAATTTAGCTTCAGTAACTTACATTAAAAGGACTTTAGATTTGGAACTATACTGTTGATCTGTTATATAAAAGAAAAACAATCATCAAGTGTTTATACTTAACGGATGTTATCACTCAAAATTAAGTGCTGTCTTCTTAGTTTAAGTAAAAAATCTTTCTTAAAATAACCAATGACATTTGGCATGGGCCTAAGAAACTTATAATGAACTAGCAGTATTGGCAATTTGAGTGATATTTTTTCAGTTAAACGTAGATTTTTTTTTCACCAAATTTCAGGTTAATTCTAAGAGGACATGAAATTTAGAAACAGTCTCTGGGTAAATAAATATAAGTGAATCATATAATAGGAAACAAAATTAAAGAAAATAAAATTTTTAAGGAATGATGAAATAGAAAAAGAGAATTAAGGAATATAAACTTCCAGTTATAAAATAAATAAGTCACAGAGATGAAAAGTACAGCGTAGAGAATATAGTTAATAGTACTGTAATAACATTGTATGGTGACTACACTTATCATGGTGAGCACTGAATAATGTATAGAATTATTGAATCAATATGTTGTACACCTGAACTTAATACAGCATTGTATGTTAATTATAATTCAATTAAAAAATGGTTACAACGTTGTTGGGGTGTTTTTGTTTTTGTTTTTGTTTTCCATGAAAAAGCTTAAGTGGGGCACCTGGGTGGCTCAGTCAGTTAGGCGTCTGCCTTCAGCTCTGGTCATGATCCAGGGTCCTGTGATTGAGCCCCGTATCGGGCTGCCTGCTCAGCCAGGAGTCTGCTTCTCCTTCCCCCTCTGCTGCTCCCCCTGCTCATGCTCTCTCTCTCCCTCTCTGTCAAATAAACAAATAAAATCTTTAAAAAAACAGAAAAAGCTTAAGCAAATTGTGGATGATCATTCTATAAGAGATTATTAGGAAGAAGTTTTTCTTATTCTTTTAGGGTTTTATGTTTGTTTTTTATTTGTTGCTACTTCAAAAGATCAAATGGTATGATCTACATATAGATAATAAATGAGCATTTATTCTTAGTCTTTCCTTTTTGAACCTTAATTTATAATTGATATTAATTCATATTAACGAGGAAAATTTTGAAATGGACAATAAAAGGATAACATATGTGAGGAAGAATATTATGTGGTTGATGAAAAAGAGTTAAAATTGACAGCAAAGAATATACTGACTAGCCTTCCTGAAGAGTCCATTGATTATAAGATTTGCTTTGGGGTTCTGGACCAGGTAGTCCACAACTGCATCACAGATAGCTTGTTTTGTGACCTAGACCAAGTCACCCAACTGACCTTGGATTTTAGTTTTCTGGTTTGTGGAATTGGGGAGTTGGACCAAATGACTTGGGGTTGTTTTTGGTTTTTTTGGTGTATCATAATCAAAATGCTATAACTTCTCATCAAGAGAAGGGATGGAACACTGAAGCTTACAAGTATGTTATGAAGTACTTTATGCTGTGAGCGAGTATGCACGTGTATGTATGCATGTGTATGACAAATGAATTTTAAATAAACACACGATGAATTCCACAAAATGAATTCTAACATTAACAAAGGCTTCCCCAGAGTTAGTTCTTTTAGCTAACTAGAGATGATAAAACATTATAAACAATAAAAGCTGAGGTAAAATCTCACCAGAAAGTTAAATGTTCTCCAAAGTCACGTTAATCAAATGGGGTGATGTGTCAATGAAGATCATATGGCTAAAAGAAAAGGAAAAATATATTCCATTCCTGGGGTAAGAGGAAGC